TACCTAAGGAGGAGTTCTATGAATGAGTTCTCCTTTGATCAAAACTTCACTCACTGCTTTGTTCCATGCAGAGCAAGGAATGACAGTTTCTAGTGCACTAATAAAATGGAACAGCTGATAAATAATTTAGTTCAGAATGAGGACACTGATTAATTTAGTCATTCATTCATTAGCCCTAATCCACTAATGTTTAATAGGAAACTGGTATTATCAAACAAAAGTGACACTGGGTTTTTGTTTGTTTGTTTGTTTTTATAAGGTCACTAGTTTGACTCATTGAGGTGCCCAACTGTATTAGTACAAGTTATTGGATTTGCTAGGTGAGACTACATGTGCCCTTTAGCACACAATAGACTACTTTACTGTGCGCTAAAGCGTCAAATAAAAAAACTGTGACATTACACTAATGTGCAGTAAATAGTCTATTGCACATTAAGCATCACTGAAAAATATGCAAATGCTCTGCTATGCATTAGTATAGCCTAATATTCATTAATTAAGTACCTCACTTCGGAGGTACTAAGTTTAATGCACATTAGAAAAGGCGCATTAATGCACACGTAGATGCACCCACTGTCATGCACATCCTCACAGCCCTCTTCCACTTCTTTAAGTGACTATTTTAATTTACAAAATGGAGTTAAATGAGTTATGTTTTATCATAGGCTGTCTCTGCTTCTTTCCCAGACCTGAAGAAGGGCACTTTGTGCCTGAAAGCTTATCCCAATTATTCAGATGGTTTAATAAAAGATATTACCATAAAATTCCTTGCTTCTTGCATATTTCCTGGACCATACAACAGCAAGGCAATCCTACCATATTATGCTGCAGTCTGATAAAAAGATACTATGAAATAAAATCAATGGAAGCTCATGTTCAACAGCTGAATGCAAGGCTATGCAGCAAGTAAAGAAAATGTAGGTCACACTTAAAGGATGGACTGCTATCCTGGAAAGCAGTGCCTCTGGCAAGGACATGGCAGGGAGGCTTGATGGAGCATATGCTTCCTGTTCCAAGCTGTGGCTAGCAGAGTTGATGTGAAGCTGGGATGTAGAAATGTGTGAGTTTTGAATAGGAACAGGCAGAGGCAACCCAAGCAGGGTATGGGTCACTTTTTTTTACAGGGAGAAAGATGTTTTCAGCATTTTTAATTCTTGTTTGAGAGAACATTTTTCCACAAGCCAAAGTTCTTCTTTTGTTTTGTTTTTTCACACACTGAAGTTCTTTCATTTTTTAAAAGCTGATCCATGCCAAATGTTTCTACTCAGATCAAAAGGAAATCTACTGGTTTGTTTGGTTTTGAAAGTTCTCACAAGAATAATCCCAGGTGTTAGGCTTACTCTAAGAGAATGAGACAAATAAGTTTTCTTTCCCAAGATAGTCAAAATGTAATGTCCTCTTTTCCAGCTGGATTTTGCAGGAAGGTGATGACAAGGTTGTGGAAACATAGGCAGAGAAACTCTTGTGAAACATCCATCCCAGCAACAGCCTCCTGTCTGGGACAACCAGATTCCATAAGAGAGAATCCCAGTCATTGTGGCAAATGGGAAACCAGAATCCCACTGAGAACCCAAACACTGTAGATGTGATGAAACCTTCCAGGTCCACAAAGAGCATTAGCACTCTTCTACTAGTGACAGCCTCTTCAGAGCAAGTGCTAGTGTTTTTTGGAACTGATGGATTGTAGTACTCTTCTCAGTTCTCTAGTTTTGTGTCTGGTTCATAGACTTGGAAGCCGTAAGAGATCACCCTGACCAGGCTGTCTCACCTCCTGCATAATACAATCCAAAGAATCCTGTATCTAGCCCCAAATCTTTGCTTGAGGAGAATATGGTTTATGGAAAGAGACATCCAATCCCAATTTTAACAGATTCCCAGTGACAGGGAATCCAACTGGCCCCCATGCAAAGTCTTCTATGAGCTGTTAAAAACCCTGCACCTTATACTGCATAACACAGAAGGAACAGCTCCGCATAATTAAGGTTTCAGACAGCATCCATTACAAGTCCAATATTAGCCCCCTACCAAATGGCTTGGTAACCAAGTTAAGCCAGAAAGTACCAGCATTCCTCTGAAGACAAAATGGAGGAAGTTTCTATAAAATCTAATTAAAATTCACCAGCTTCCTTTGGCAGTTAGAAAATGTTACTCAAATACCTTGATTAGAAATTTTGGATTTTATCCAGTGTCTCCCTCCAGCTTCAACTTTCCACCTAATTAAATCTCCCACATAACCTGAGCCCACTAGGCCTGAAGAATAAGCTTCAACGAAACAAAGTTACTAATTATTGGTGTGAATCACACAGGTGCATTCTTTCTTCCATTGATTTTAGTGGAATTACAGGCATAATTCTGCTAATGTCAAGTATTTTACCCAGACTTTTCTGACATCCTGACAGGTCACTATGGAGTTGACTATGCATTGCCTTGGCTACATGTAGCATAAAAACAGATAAGGGCTTTTTTACAGCTGGCAACAGCCCGAGGCTGGGGTGCTAGGCACGTGCCCCCAGGTTCTGCGCTGTAGAACTCCCCTCCATGGCCCCCCACTCTGGGGCAGAAAAACAGAGACATTGTAAATAGTTTTGCCATTGTAAGTGGGTTTTTTATTGTTAGTGGGTGGGAAGAGGGGGGAGGGGCTCTGTTTGTTGAGAGGGGAGGGATGGGGGTGGGTGTTGTTAGAAAAATAAAGCTTTTTTGTTTAAAATGCGCCTGGCCTAAGAGTGGTGCTGGGGCTGGGTAGAGGGTGTGTGGGCAGCAGGGCAGGCAGGTTGGAGCAGGGACTGCAGGAGGAGGAAGTCAACCAGGGTCTCCCGCATCCAGTGGCCTGGCCCCTGCTGACAAGTGCGTGGCTCTCCTGGGGCCTGGGTAGCAGGGCAGGGCTGCTGGGGCCAGCACCATGGCCAGCAGCAGTGTGGTGTGCTGATCATTGCTGCCAGGGGCATGGTTGCAGCACTGGGGTGCTGGGCATCACTGGTAGGGGCAGGGGCAGGGGCTGGAGCAGGCATGGGATGGGGAGGCAGGGTGGGCAAGCAGGGAGCTGCCGCCCCTGAGCTGGGCACATGGCTCCTGGGCAGGGAAGGGGTTGGTCAGGGATCAGAGGGCGGGGCTGTGTTTCCAAGATAGCAGACAAGGGCTGGCAGCAGGTTTTGGTGCATGGCAGGCCTGGAGGGACTTCACAGTAAATTATGGGCCAAGTCTCTTCACATGTAGACAGCGACACCCAGCAAAATCGCTCACTGTGCATTAGCTTAATGCTCAGTAAATTTAGCCATGAGTAATTGCATATGTAGATGTGCCCTGTGATAGATTCATTGAGTCTATGGCCAGAAGACACCATGACTGCATCCCACAGGGGATGTGCAGGGATATGAAGTCTGTGGCACCATAAACGTATTTGTGGTGCCACAAGCCACATGCAGTGAATGTTAAAATGTGCACCTGTTGCAAATTTGCTGTGCAATGGCAAAACTTGCTACCTGGATTTCCAGTAGCAAAAAAACAAACTCCAGGAAAAGAGTGGCGCAAAGCATGTAAAAAAAAAAAAGTACAAATGGAAGCATGGCCCTCCAGAGAAACATTCTGGCTGCCAGGAGGAGCTGGCCAAGGGTAGTTTGCCCACAGCGGGACATTTTGTCCTGCAACAAAGCGCACATGTAGAGTCATGTGCTGGAGCACAAAGTAGCATCACAAATTTATTCTACTACTATTTGTGCTGCTGCAAGCATATGCTCCTGCTCATCTGGACATGGCCCATTAGATTATCTAGGCTGTCCCCTTTCTATATGATGGTGAGCCATGAAACTTCACCCAGCTACCTCTGTACTGAGCCCAGGAATTTGCATCTGGCTGAAGAATAACTTGTGTGCGGCTAAAGGATATCTTTCAGGAAGGCTTCTAATCTTGATTTTGAAGACATCAACAGGCAAAAAATCCACTACTTCCTTTGGTAGCTTGTTACAGCGATTAACTATCTTCACTCTTAAAAGTGTGCTCCTGATTTCTGATTTGAATTTATCTGGCTGCCTTTTCCACCTGTTGGTTTTTGTTGCACATTTTTCTACTAGATTGAAGGGCCCCTTAGTATTTAGCATTTTCTCATCATGAAGGTACTCATACATGGTAATTAAGTCATCGCTCAGTCTCTTTTGTGTACATCAAACAAACTGATCTCTTTAAGGTATTGCTCCAGCCCTCAACAACTTTCTGTGGCTTTTATCTGCATTGTCTCCAATTTTTCAATGGCCTTTTGAAGATTTAGACCCTAGAGCTGTGTGCATTATTGCAGCATCAGTCTCATCAGTGCACAAACACAGGGATAAAATCAGCTCTATGGATCTACTTGTACTGCCCTGTTTATACAGTCAAGGATGGCTTTAGCCTTCTGTATCCCACCATTGTTCTGGGAACTCCTTTTGAGTTATTTGTCCAGTAATGATCCCAAGATCCTTTTAAGAGTCAATGTTTTCCAGAATCCTGTCTCCCATTCAATGGTAAAAGCCTGAACTCCTTGTGTTTTGCATTTGGCTGTGTTAAAACTATTTTTGCTTGACATCTGCTAAGGGAAAGGTGAGACATTTACAATATTTTAATGGTACTTTCAGAAACAATTCTAACTGCACTTGACTTGAGCATTTCATTTTCAGATTGAATTTAAAAATCCAAGTACTTAACAAAATACAGTTATTTTAAATGAATATGCATAGATATTAATTTAGTTAACAGACAATCTTAATGAAAGCTCAGGATATGAAATCCCAGGAGAAAAGCCAAAAGCCATTGGCCTGATAGCCAGTGTCTGCTACATGAGATCTCATTCATGAGGCGAGTCTATGCAGCTCAAGTGCTGAAATTCTCATTCTCTTCCTGGGCAATCAAAAGAGGGGTAAAGGTGGACAGCAGAAGCATTTAGAGAGAAAGAGAGGGGAAGATTATAAGGGATGATACAAGAGACACATCAAGATATAAGGAGAAGGAAGAGGTGACACACAAAAGTGCAGCCTGGCTAAGCCAGCAGTGCTGAGAGTTATTAATGGTGGGCTATGAGAAAGCGAGTGTAACATGGAAACAATGTCTGAGACAAGAACTCCAAAGGGAGATGGACAGTGCTAAGGACAGGAAGCCACCGGAGCTGGGGGTGGAGTACTCGGCATCCTTGATCTGCTGCTGTCTGAGTCCTAGGAAAAGTCTTGATTATGCAGCTTGGGTCATTTCTTCTGCCAGACAACTTTCTTACAACTTGATGGGGAGGTGGCAGAAGCTGCTGGGAGGTTGCCACTGGGATGCATATGCTCAGCAGGCAGCACTCACCCAGCAAGCCTGGAGAGATGCCCTGGGATTCTCACAGGCCCAGTGAGACTATGGTTCAACCCAGGGAAATGCTGCTGTGCTCTCCCCCAAACTCCTCCTCCCCTTCCTCTGGCTTTCAGAACAACAGGCTGTGTTGACAAAGCAGGTGCTGCCACCTCCATCTGGGGTCTGTCTTTTCCTGGAAATGGCTGTGCAATGCAAGCGGAGGGTTCATTTAGCTCGTTACTGGATGCGGGGAAGTGCACAAAGCAGACATTTCTCCTGCAGATTAAAAAGCTTTTAGAGCAGCTCTAGGCCTGCCTGGCTCGTTACTGTGCTAATGTCTTCTCAGAATCCTGGTCTCCCTACTGCACAGCCACAGCATGGGCTGAAAACAGGCCTAATGAGCTTGGGATGGCAGGTTCTGCTCAGAGTGGGGCTAGAATTAGCCATGTAGCGGCTGCAGGGAAACTGTGGAAGTCCCAGGTGCTGGGCCAGTCTGGATGGCACCAGGCTCTGCTTAAAGATCCAGAGAGGGCCATGACAATCATGTGACTGGAGCACCTCCATTATATACTCTGGTTAGTACTGGCCCCCACCCATAGGGACTTCTCCCTACCAACTACTGAGGGACAGTTATAGTGCTTAAGCGGGGGTTGAGTGGTGCTTTTGCCGTGAGGGCTTCCCTGTGGGACCCAAAAGCTTGTAAGAGTCCCTCCTCTCTCTTGGTTGGAGCAGCACTAGAAAGATCTTCTGCTTCCCTGCCCTAGGTACTAATGGCATCACAAGGAGCCATATCAGGAACTTGCTGGACTGGTGGGGCACCTGCTCCAAGCTCTGCCTGGTGCCTGCACTGACAACAGGCTGTTGTTTGCACACAGAGCTGCTCTGATTGGCTGTGCCTCCTCAGGAAGTCAGGGAATGGGGGAGGGCAGCCAACTAGAAGTGATTTTTCTATAGATCCCATCTGAAGTTCCCTTTAAACCAGCCTTTCCCAATCTTTTCTGTCCCACAGCACACTTACATGACCTTTTCCATCGGAGCGGGATGGGGAGGCAGGCTAAGCGGCTGAATGTGGAGCTGGGTGGAGAGGGCCAGCAAGGGGTTGGCCAGGGTGCGGTGGTGGCATGGGGCGGTGGTGGCAGCATTGACTCTAGCCATGCCCCCCCAAGATTTCGCAGTGCACTTGAACATGTCTGACGCGACACACCAGTGTGCTGCAGCACACCGGTTGGGAAACACCGCTTTAAACTTGTAAAAGGATTTGGACACCTGTGAAGTAGATAGGCTTGTCCATTTCCTGGCTCCAGAAACTGTTTTTCCACCATCACAGCCCCATTTCTGGTCACAGCCCTGGCTCTTGCCCACCTCTAAAGCCCCAGCAGCCCCCTTCTATTCAGAGCAGCTACAGCTCAGGAACCTTCGTATTCCCCCTTGTGCTCTACCTTGCTGTACTTTCCTGCCATGGTAGCAGGGGTCAAAGTCAGGAATGGTTCAGGTGGGTTAGAGGGACACTGCATAATAGTAGCCCATGCAGAGAGCATCACAGCTTCACTAAATGCTCAATGCTGTGGAGCAGTATATGACAAATTAAGCCAGTGTCTAAGTCTCTGTCATGAGGCGAGTCCCCTAGGCTACAAAGTCTGGCTCCCTTTGTATTCTCTCTCTGGCACATGAACCTGTCATTCTTGGGTATCCAGTGGCATGCTTCAACAGGACACATGAAGTGTCCCTCCCCACAGCCCCAACAGGACACGTGGAGAGTGCCCCTCCCCAAAGTCACAGTATAGTGGAAGCTGAGAGCTGTAGATCTAAACTCCTACAGGTTGAGATGGGCCTAGAGCCTAGCTCTCTTACTTTTGGAACACTAATCACTAGGCCAGTGTTTCCCAACCTTTTCCAGCCCAAGGCACACTTACATTAATAAAATTTTTCCACTGCACACCTGTTAAGGCATTCCCCATCCTCATACCTATTGTAGCTCATTGCCATGGCAAAATTCTGCGGCACACCTGTTCATTTCTGACAGCACACTTTTGTGCCATGGCGCACTGTTTGAGAAACACTGCGCTAGGCTATTATACATAAAGTGGACACTCCCATCCTTCTCCAGCCACATTTTAGGAGGAAAGATTGAGCCTTGCTTACCAGGAGAGGCCTCTGAGTTCTGGATCCTGAGTGGATAATGATACCTGCTTCCAGCTCTAATTCAGGCACCTAAATTTTGGAAAGAGGTGGGTGCTTAGACACAGGCACAGTGTTTCCTTATTGACTAGCTTAAGGCAGCTCCCTGCTCAGGGCATGGCTGTTCTGAATTCCCTTTCTGAAGCACATTACTCTCCCCCTGTGCTGTGTAGAGAGCCTAGAGCCCAGCTCAGAGGCCTAGGTTCCACTCTGGGGACCTTTAGTATCTTCAATGTTCGCATCTGAATGTCAGAGTTGCTAAGGTCATGCAAATGGCTAAAAACACAGGTGAGGCAAAACAAAAAACTCAGAGGTGTATCTACTCCTAGGAGACAATAGGACCCTTACTTTTAAGATGAGTTTCAAGGGCTGTGCCAGTAAAGCAGCAACACAGCTTTTTCTTGCTGTGGGGATTTCTAGCTGCCTGGTAACCAGGGATCTGGTTTTTCCATTTCCCATGGGGAAATGGAGAAAAATGTGAATTTCCCCCTTTACCCAAGGAAAATGCAGATTTTTCATTTTAACAGAGAAACCAGTGGATTTTGCACTATTGCAAAGAGCTGTCTGCATGCTGGCAGAGTTTCTCTCTGCAAGGAGCTGTGGGGGGCAGGAGCGGGAGGAGGGTGATCAGGCAGGGGGCACCATGTGTGTATATATACACAAGGCTGCCGGGCAGCCTAGAGAGCAGCTTCCGCAGGTAAACATGGGGGTGGGAATTGATGCTTCCATAGGGAGGAAGGATGGAGGGAGGGAGTTGGGCAAGGTTGGGGCTGGGGCTGCTGCCTCACTTGGGCTGGGGGGGGGGGGGGAGGATGGCTTGGAGCCCAGGGCTGGAATACCTGGCTGCTAGCACCCGGTGGGGAGCAGGACAGGGTTGCAGGCAACTCATTTGGGGGGCAGAGAGTGGGGCCAACTCCCCACACTGCTTGCACTCCCAGGGGGCAGGGGGGACCCGTGCCCCCCAGATCTGTGCATAGGACAGAGGTGGGCTGCCTGCTACAGGCTTGGGCTCCCTGTCCAGTTGTCCTCCCCCAGGGGCCTCTGCAAACCAGCGGGTGCGACCTGGCACTGCAGGGCAGAGTGGGGCCATGTGGGGAAGCTCCTTGCCACTGCGAGCTCTGCACTGCCATGGCAAGGCATCCCCTGCCTGCATGGCAGCAATGAGGGACAGAACCCCATGCTACTGTCCCCACTGCTGCAGGTTGGGCAGGGGGCACCTTGCCAGGGCAGCGCAGAGCTCACAGCAGCAAGAAGCTTCCCTGCACAGCCCTACTATGCCCTGCTGTGCTGGGTTGCACCTGCTGGGCTGCAAAGGCCCCAGGGGAGGGCAGCAGGGTGGGGGCCCGAGCCCACAGCAGGCAGCCTGCCCTCACCCCATGCACAGATCTGGGGGGCACAGGTCCTCCCTGCCCCCCGGGAGTGCACACTGTGGTGGGGAGCCAGCCCCACCTCTGCCGGAGCCACCAGCAGGCAGCAGCAGAGGGTAGTTGGTATCCATGCTCCGCTCCACTGAAGCACCTGCCACCTTCTGCGGGCAGCAATCGGGGCTCAGGAGCTGCGGACCCATGTCCCATAGCACTAGCAGTTGGAGGCCCACCCAGCAGGGCTGGGGGTGGGGCAGGGGCTGTGTGTGTTAGGGTAGGAGGGAGTGAGGAGCGCCAGCAGGGCCAGGGGGCTATGCAGGGTGGTGGTGAGGGGCACAAGCAGGGCCAGGGGGCTCTGCAAGGGTGTAAGGGGCACCAGCAGGGCCAGGAGGGCTGTGGGGGTGGGGGGAATGAGGGGCACTAGCAGGGCTGGGGGCTGTGTGGGGGGAGTAAAGGGTACCAGCAGGGCCAGGGAACTGGGGGGAAGGGGAGTGAGGACCACCAACAGGACTGGGAGGTGGTGGGGGGAGTGAGGGGCCTGGACCTGTATTCTGTGAGCTAAGGGGGCAAAGCAAGCTCTAATTTTCCATGATAAAAACCCCCAAATCAAATACTAAAATGTATAGGTATTTAGAATTTATTTTATTATAGTGATTAAGGCACTGGTGGGCTTCCAAATTGCTTTAAAATTGTAAATGTATCAATAAAACATTGTGTTCATCTAATATATACATATATATATATATATATACAGTGGCCTTTCATTTTAATCATGGATTTTGGGTATGTAATCTGAGAATTAGTCATTTTTATCAGAGAATTTGCCATTTTTTTGTCAGGGAAAACCAGGATCCCTGCTGGGAACAGACAAGACAATGCGCTATAGGATGGAGAGAAGGGCAGGAGGCATCCCAGAGATATCCTTAGAACATGGGTGAAGGCTGGGAACACCCGGTATATCTGATATAGCTTGTGCAGAGCAAGCTTGATGTAGCTTGTGCAGAGCTGTAATTTAGTTTAGGCCAGGTATAGCCAGCTGGAAATCACTAACTCTTTGCCCACATGAAAATACAATACATCAGCTTCTACTGCCCATCCATTCTGCAAACATATAGGGTTATGTATCCTCTGAAAAGAGGTAGCACCATGAGGGGTTAGGGCTCTGCTCAGAGAGGACAGAGTGTAGAGTCCAAGATAGGTGATGATGATGAATCACTTCCTTTTGAAGTTCCTCATGTTAACAGCTTTAAATTTGCTGCCTCTATACTCTGGAAGGGCAGCAAGTAGGGCTAGGCATTAACAAAGTGTTTGGGTAATGAGGTTTCCTTGGGTTTTGAGATATGATTATGGCACCTCTGAGGATGCACTACTTTGGCACACCCTGTCACCATTCAGTTACCAGGTCTGGCCCCTTCTGGCACCTCTATATTTATGATAAGGGAGGAGCAATGTAGAAGAGGGAAAATGGTATCTAGTGGCCTGGAAAGAACACATCCACCAGCTGTGGACACAGTGAACTGAACATAGTGACAGTTCTCAGTGCTGGAAGTACCATGTCCTTTCCCCCACCCTTCCCATTTCTGTCATAATGGGATTTTCTTTGGTGGATATGTTCAGACAGACTTTTGCTGAAACTCTTTTTCTCCACTTATGCTGAGGATTTCATTGTCCATGGCAAGAGGCTTTCAAAGAGTTCCATGAAGCTCAAAATTATTAGTGCAATTACGAAATAGTTAGGCTGTCACATTTACCGGTTGCTCAGTCAGTCCTAAACATGAACATGAATGACGCAGGCCATTGGAGTTTGGGGGCTAGGGCGACTGCCCACAGGTAGTGGTGGCGGCAGTGGCGGCAACAGGGGCATGGCGGCAGCGAGTGGGGAGCTTCCACAGGTGGCCACGGTGGTATCGGTAGCAGGGAGGGGGAGGTGGTGAGTGCCAACAGGCGGTTAGCAACCACCCACAGACACTGCCAGCAGCATCAGTGGTGGCCAGCAGTGATCAGCAATCCCCTGCAGATGCTGCAAGCAGTGTTCGCGCGGGGGGCAGAGAAAGGCAACCAGCCACAGGTGCCACTGGCAGTGGTGGCAGCAGCCAATCACAGGGGGGGCACCGCCAATCTCAGGGAGTGCACGTGCACCTGTATGCACCCCCTACATATTGCCAATGGTTCTAAAGGAAAATACTACAGGCTGGCCATTTTGTAATAGCTCTGTTCCTAAGCCATGTTCACTAGCATCATGCTGAACAGCTACAAATTCCTTTATGTTATCATAATAATTTATGACTAAGTAGCTAAATGTCTACCTTTTGGAATTTGCTTCAAAGCTTATTTCTGTTAATATTCCCAACGTTATCCAGCACTTTGATTAGGCTGTCTCCAAAGTGGTTAAGTTAGAGCAGAGAGGTGCAGCAGGAACATGGACAGAACATTAACAAATCCCTCCAAAACCTGTATGCCATGCATATTGCTTGCCAGGGAATTTCTGAGATCTGATCTGAAGTACTCATCTATTAGGAGGAGTCCAGGAAACAACACAGCTGGCAGGCATAGTCTGAATAGTTTCTTGTTCAGTCTGAGATTCACCTGACATGCTCTATTGTGTACAGCTATCAGATTACAATCATGATCAGTATTAGCTTCCGTGCAGGAGTCCCCACAAGCACACAGTAAGAGATTACCTGCAATTACCCCTGTCCCTCAAGTCCTTCTAGCATTGCCTTATTCTGGAGTCATCTCTGCCTGCCAAACAGTATCTGAAAAATTGAAATACTATGTTGGAACCTTAGAATCATCATATCTAAAGAAAAATACAGTACATCACCAAAACTGTAAGAATATGCAACTACAAATGGCCTTTTCATCCTTAATATACGATTGTGCTGTCATAAACATCACATATTTTGATCATTTTGCTTCCTGCCACCTCAAACTCTCAGCTGAGTTCCACCTGAGCCTGGGTGAGATGTTAAAGCCATGGGCTGTCTGACTCAAATCCCTTGGCACACTGCAAGTTGTTTCCAGCCACAGGGCCAGAGATGAAGTCAATGAGCACCTCCAGAGCGGTCATGCCAGACTGCCAACAGCAGAACTGGATACAGGCCACCACATCATCATTGTGATAATCACAGGTGAAGCCACTGTGCTTGGAAGAAGGTAGTTAGTACATTGGGAATATGACCTTCAACTGTCCCCACCACAGCTGGATGATCCTGGCTGCTATGAGTATGCTCATGTTTAGAAGCACAACTGCATTTGCAACATACCTCTGGTGCACTTACATTAGCATTTCTCAACCTTTTCCATCCCATGGCACATTTACATAAATAAAAAAAAATTGCATCATACCAGATGTCGAGTGGGGGTGGGGGTGATGCGGTGTGGCTGGACACAGAGTGGGGCAGCGGGGTGTGGCATGGTGGTTGGATAACTCGCTGGAGTCATGCCCCCTGCCTGCTGCTGCTGTGGACAGACGGACAGACAGGGGGCATGGCTCCCCAAAATTCTGCAGCACACCTGTTGATGTCTGACAGCACACCAGTTGGGAAATGTTGACTTAGAAAACACGTTTTTAAACCTAGTGCGTTGAGAATTGACCCAACACTCAGCTGATGAATAGCAGAAGGCTTGTTTTAATAACTTCCAACAAACTACAAAACTAAATAACAGAAAAAAAGCTACAAAACTAAATAACAGGAAAAGGCTCTTTCCCAATATAAAACAAGCTATTAGTCCTTAGTATTATCTTAGCTGCACAGAGATCTTTACCCAATGCAGGCAGGAAGCAGTTGTTGTACAGCTTCTAAGCGTGGGTCCTTCACTTGTTGGCTGGGTGGCAGGATGGCTTCTTGGTCCGGGCTGTACATACCTTGCTGGCAAATCTGCTTAGTTTTTATACTGTTTAATTGTATAGTGTGGGGGGGTTCCAAGTGATTAATGAATTCTCTCCCCGGGGGCTTTCCTGCCATGCTTTGATTTGATGGAAAAATGAGAAAGTAAATTCCCCAACAAGATGTAGGTTAGTCAATCACCCCACACAGAAAGCAAAAGTTAATTGGTTTATTGTGGTGTTCCCTGTAAATCTCTAGCAGCGGCTAGATAACTGACCAGCTGACATCCGTGCTCCCTCCCCGTCCCCTTGGGCTCCCTGCCTGTAGGTCGGCTCCTTAATAATTTCTTTTCTCCACCAGTCATCCCAACATTCCTCACTGGGAATCATCCCCACTGTTGGTCTCTATGAAGGTAAGTACCTTTTCTTTCCTCACGTCTTTATGAGTGGATCTCACCATGGTTATATCCTCACTCACTGAGCCCAACTCTGGCATTTCTCCGTTCAGCAGTTTCTCTGCCATCTCTTTTCTCTGTGCTGGCCTTCCTCGCCATTCCTCTCTGTCTCCCGTGGTGCACCAGGGCGCAAGGAACTGCTGCTTTCCCAGTCCTTTCATTCGCTGCCAACCGCCAGGTCAATCATGGAGTTCTAATTGTTTCCCAGTGTGCTACCCCCTCAGCTGAACCTTGTGTGTAATTGCTCTTGCCCTGTCTTTGGCCCGTGTTCTCTTTACTGCTCATCCGCTGAGCCCCTTTAACCTCCCCTTAGGAACAAAGTTAATCTTCACCCTGTTACATATAGCTTCAAAGAATTTTTCCTTGATGGTTGGTCAATTAAAGGCTGAACAAACAGGAAAAAAAAGGATGACCATCATATGACAATTGTTAAATTGCCTAGCTCTTCTGGATTTGTCTAGGTATGAAGACTGTGTTTTTCTGCACTCCGTGCACTGCCAATAATTTTAATCACTTTTATTATTTTATGTCATGGGTCTGGTATTGGGTACCACAAGCACTCTACTGTCTTGATGCCTAATGGGTTGCAAGCCATTAGTGGAGTTTGATTTTATTGTGGCAGTCTTGTTACCACAATCCAGTCTTGCCCCAGCCGTTGTTTTATACACTATCCAAGCTTTCATAGTTTTCATATGCAGCACCCTCCATTGAGCCTACCACATGCAAGACAATATAAAGACAATTTAAGGTTGTCTGAAGATGGAAAATTGATTGAATATGGAATGTCTCTTTCAAATGGGAGCACTCTTTGTATCTTCCTGAATCATTCCACATTGGACCACTTTTTCAATTATGGCATACATGGTGCAAGGGTTGAATTTTCTGTACAAATAAGAAAATTGTTGTACCACAATTGTCATACTGCTGGCAAAATGAATTCAGAAATCCATCAAAGTTCAGCTTCTTTCATCAAGTTTTACTTGCCAGAAACCATCTTTTCATCTAATGTGACTCCAGTCTGGAGATCATGTAACTTTCTCTTGGACTCTCAAATCCACAATGTTATCCAGGGTTTTTTTAAGTTAATTATTCAGAACTGCTATTCTGCAGTATGGCTGCTTTAACAACTACCTCTCAGGGTAGATTTTGTATGCATTGTCCCAGAAGATACTCCTGCTCTAGAACTTGAGCCTGGAGTTTGGATGATTTATCTTGTCCACATTTGTAGTAATCTTTGCAGCTCATTATGGTGCAGATAGAATCACTGTCAGTCTAACAGTGGAATCTCTGAGGTGATGCTTTCAGTTCTAGGTGGGCAAAATCACTGTTTTCCCCAACATTTTTACAGCTGCAGGTCTAATTTGCAATGAAATTCATTTAGAGAGGTACTTTTGTCACTCTCCACTCAGTGAATATTGTAAGATTGCTTCTGTCTCTGTTTGCAAACTTCTGCAAAACAATTTCTTTTCTTGCAATAAACCCATGTGGCACCATATGCCAGGCATATGTCATTTTCATTTTTTCTCCTGCAATGTAGACATTGCTTACTTTTTTTCTGAGGACCACAACTATTTCACTCTGTGTTTACCTGTATTTCCTGTGTTGGATACATTTTCTCAATATTTAATGCTTGAATATTCTGTGACTTATTCTTTTACTTGTTTGCCACTGCAGCATTTATCAATAGCAAGAACTTTCTGTTCTGCCTGTCACAACATATGCACTCTTGCTTCATTATCTTTGCTGCCTAATATTATAAGGACTCTAATAAGTTTGTCTGTAAGTTTGCCAAATTTCCATTATGCTATTAAGTGGCACAGAGTAGTCATACATTGGTCTGTAGTTCCAATCTGGTCAGCATTACTGAAATAATATCTTGTATATTACATTTCCTTAAGACACAAAGTATTTTTTCCAAAGCAGCTAAGATGTAGCTACATGCTGTTTTTCTGCTGTTTGGAAATGTTGAAGAATTAAGTACCAGTATCCACCAATGACTGTATTTGATACAGTCATATGAATGACTCTTATTGTCCACTCTGACAGGTCTTTCCTACTTTGTCCAGGAAGCCATGATGAAGCGAAGCTCCAGTTTTCATAGATATCCCTGTGCCTTTGCACACTAGCAAGGAATGGATGCTCGCAACCACATAGGCCACAACACCCAGTTACAGCAGCATCAACCGATTCACCCAACCTGCTGTTAAGCCTCGATGTAGAGTTGTGCCAAAGGCGGCACAGCAGTGAGTTTTACTGGTTGCACAGGGCCCAAGAACTATACTACTTTTTTTATGATGCTCTGTATTGAAGTAGCACCTGGCTGCTTCATGGACTAGCACCCCACTGTGGGAGGTTATATATAACCATAAAACCAAACTGGGGATTCCACTCCCCTCCCCCAGCTTCTAGTTGAAGTTCAGGTTAACAACTGCGCATTCAAAGTGCTTTGTGCATCTGCTAAGGCAGGGGGACCTTGGGAAAGCCCTAGGGAGTACAGGCAGTCCTCGACTTACAATGTTGTGAGTTACGTTTGGCAGTTACAACATTTCTAAATTGACACCCTGTTTCAACTTTCTGACTTCAGTTTCGACTTTACAACGCTTGATCTGATGCGACACCATGCCAGCAAACAAGTTCGCTGCGTCGCTCATCTTCCTTGTCTGCTTCTTTAAAACAGCAGACAAGACTCCAGAAAAACCTGCGGCCAAGACTCCTGAGAAGACTCCAGCCAAGAACCCTTCAAAAAGTCCGGCGAAGTCACCCAAAAGAAGTCCTTCCAAATCAATATGGTTGCTATTTACAATATAAATACATTAATGTAGCTATATTAGTCATCTATAATTGATTGAGAACAAAATTCTGGGGTATTTTTTGTGAAAATAGGGTATCAGGCCTTGGTTCGGGAACCAATCCCCCATTTATAACATTGTTTCTTATGAGAAAATTGGTTCTGAGTTACAACGTTTCGACTTAAGATGTGGTTTTCAGGAACCAATTGTGTCCTAAGTCTGAGGACTGCCTGTACATGCGGGTAGGTGGGGACAGAGCATCGCCACCCATTACCCCATGCTGCCACCTCTCAGGAGCAGGGTGGGGGGTGGGCAAGGGCAGTGGTGCCCCTCTGAGGGCCACACAGGTGCCACCCGGCCATGCGGGGGGGGGGAAGGAGCTCGCACATGGTGGCCGCTGCTGCCACCCAGCCCCCCTGCTCTGTGCCTGGCTGCACCCTCCCCCAACTCCCCTCCACTGCTCCATGTCTGGCTGTAGAGGGTACACCTATTAAAAAAGGTTGAAAACCTCTGTGCTACAGGTTGCAGGGGGGCAGGAGTTATACTTTGGAAATATTTTCATGTTCTGTTTTGTAATTTCAGGTCAAATTAGCCAGATCAGTTCCAAATCCTTTGAATAAAAAGAAAAGGGTCTTGTGGTATGAGGGTGCCTGGTGGGTGTTGCCTGTCCTGCTGGGGATGGGGCTCAGGCTGGGCTGTCACCACGGAGGACGTATAGTAAGCAGGTGTAGCACAGCCTCGTGGAGTTGGGGAGAGAGACCAGAGCTATGGACCAGTTCAAAACATCCTGCTTGCACCCAGGCCCTGAAGGCCATAGCTGTGGCAGAGAGACTAGGCCTTCAGGGCAGTCCAGGCGCCGGGCGGGTCGGAAGGGCCTCCAAGAGCCGCCAGCCGGGGAGAGTGCGCCACTGCCCCGAGCCGCAGCGCGGGCACTGCCAGCGTCAGCCCCGGGCACGGACGCGGGGCCTTGGCTGCAAGCCGCCCCTGCTGATCCCTGCTTGGCTCTCGCTGTTTCCTGTGACTGTTTCCTCTCCGAGCCCAGAGCTCTGCCGAGCGCGCAGCCCTGTCCGGGGGCGCGGGCGTCCTGCGGTGCCCGGTGCCCCGCGCGCTCCCTGCAGCCCGGCAGC